CGAAAAGCAACTCGTTCAGTTTCTTTCTATGAAAGAGTGAAGGTGTTGAGTGACGATGGCAGTGAATGTGCTTTTGACAGGCTTTTTGTCCCCGAATGTGATAGATGAACTGAGAGTGTAAGAGGTGCATGATGTTCACGGACGGGGAGGGGGTAATGTATAACATGGTCGGAAAGTACAGAACAATAGACATCACAGAAATTGACTTGACTGGTATTAGTTCGCCTGTTCGACCTGTGAGTGACAGGGACACACGAATCAATGCATTTAACCGATACGCGTTTGTTTAAGCAATACAAGATCAAATAGTTATTTTTTTAATACATTTTTCGTTCTATGGAATCCACGGTTGTGCACGATAAGCTTTTAGCGTCCTCGTCCTCGTCCAGTTTCGTTCACGTGGAACCGTGAATGTTGATGTATTGGGCTCGTTCACGGGTTTACACTTAGACCGAACGAAAACAATTCTGGCCCGGATAATAATGCGTTCCGAAGAATACAAAATCATTTTCGTGCGCATCGTCTGATTCGGAGATGAAATGCAGCAACCCTCATTAACGAGTACATCTACTCAGTCAGTCAATTAGTGTGAATATTTACTGACGTGAGTCGTATTCTTGGTAGCGTTTTGGTGTTGACAAAATAAGGACCTTCCGGAACTACTGGGCGAGGGAAATCGATCAATGCCCTAGCCAAATCAGATGATATTAGTTCTCTGTGTGATATTCTCCGGTTTTCTTCTCCTGATCTCACATTTTGATCGGGTGAACTGCCTGGGTTTCATTGGCAAACCTCTCGCAACGATTGGGTGCTTTTGCCTTGGTGCTCATAAGAATTCTACTTTGCAAAGCCATAATTGATCTCAGTTGACGAGCCCAATCAGGGGGTAGAGTGAGACAATACATCGTCACAAGAAATAATTTCATAATTTCACCACCCGTGCTAGTGAATGAGAAATTGTAGAAATAAGGGAGTGCCGTAGAAACACCGTGTTTCTCTCGCTAGGAAACCTTCTGATTCAGTTTCACTGTTTCGCTTAAAACAACAAAACCTCAACCTGAAGCAAACCATTCATTAGCTTGGGAATGATTGCGTCATAGGGTCCTCGTTTATCCTTACTCATCGTGCGGTTTTATTGTTTACTCCGCTATAGGGGCTAGGAGGGTAGTAGATCAAAATAACGCATTTGTTTTGAGGGAATGGTAAACAAAGACTTCATTTGAACACCGGATGAAACAACGGTTCTAAGCCAAGTCCTGCTTATTGATAAAAATTGTATAACCGTTACTGATATATTATTAGTATTGTACTCGAAATCGAAAAACATAAACGCATAGTCTGTCATACACTCACAGATTCGGTGGTCTCATTCCTCACTTATACGGCTGACAAATCGGACAGTTTACCCAGCTATTGAATTGAACTCCCATCACATTATAGGGAAGAATGGGTCAAAACAGGTCAGACGGCTTAAGGCTACCATCCCTAGCTCGTTTTGGATACGACCGGTAGTTCAAGCACTCGATCCCCTTAGCAACTGACCTGAATGATGCGCTTTTGACAGCCCAGACTAACCATCCCATTGGATTCTTCATATAGTTTCAGTCACGATCTCCCCTCCTCCCTGCCCCCTTGCGCTCACACACATCATTTGGAACA